CTCAGAACATCTTATCATTCGGAAAGAAGATTGGTCTACACATAGCAAGGAGGAACTACGTCAACTTCAAGCGCAGGTTTTCAACGCTAGTGTGTGACTTCCCATACGCGTTGTTGTGGATGGCGTACCGCCCTGCGGACGAAGCTTGCCCGAAGCGGCAGAGCATGTGCAAGGCGCTGCTCGATGCTGGTGACAACGGCCTTCATATCATCGAATTAAAGATGAAATACGTCTTCTTGCCTGATGTCAAAGAGGCTGCACACGATGGCACTATCTCAAACGTCTTCCTGTGGAACAAGATGCGTAGGTTGGCGGAGGAGTGGCCCGCCGCCATGCAGGTGGTGGAAGGCATCAATTCTATGATTCAGCATGAGGCCGAGTTCGCACCTCATGCAGACTTGGCTCTGATCGACGCCAGGGTGGCGATGCGGAAAGAGTTCGGCAAATGATCCCGAGCAGACAGACTCGTCAAGTGGAGGGACATCAAGCACCAGGTCGACGCCATCATTCAAGATGCTGTGTCGCACTCCGCTCTCGAGAATGTGTTGCACATCATGTGGCCTGTTACGCCTGATAAGGTTTTCTCACCAGTGGAGCCAAGAGGAATTACAGCGCTGCCTCCTGCAGCCATCGCACCATGTGATCCAGCGCGCGCGCGCTTGCCCTGGAATGGGCAAAGCCATGGGGCCTGCAACTGCACCGACTCAAAGTCCCAGATCTGGCAATCTCTTTCGACGACGGCGGGCTGTATTGGCTGCGCAGTGGCAGCTACTACATGGAGGACTTCATGGTTTCATACCGACTTTCCGATGGTGCCTTTATTCCTCAAGGGGACGTTATGAGCACCAGTGGTCTCATCGGAGCACACTATACTGCATGCAGCCTCGAGAAGAAGGCGGTGCAAGCTAAATTGTGCATCCTTGACGTGGTGAATCACTCCCAGCCCATTCCTCTGGGCAATGGCAACGACGTGCTGACCTTGAACGATGCGCGCCCAGAAGGTCATGCACTGGGTGCGCCTGCGCCCGCGCTGGAAGATGGCCGTGTCGATGGAGACTCGGACCTGGACGACGAAATGGTTGCCGTCCTTGAGTCGGCATTTGGTGCAGAATCTGACGAGGCAGTGGCAGCTTTCCTCGGCGGAGATGATGGCCATCTGATTCATAAACATCACAAGTCAACTACGAAGACTGCATCAACAAAAGGGAGGGGCTAAGAATGCGGCCATCGACGAGAGAGTGCGTTCAGCATACCGTGAACTTTTTCCAGAGGAAGGCGGTCCAGGTGATCAGGCTGGTTGCGCCTCCGAAGACGACGTGCACGCGAATCATGGCCCTGATGGCGACGGATGCGATGGGAGGGGCGGGGAAGCGAACTGTATGTAGGACGGGCGCCATGCCACCAAAAGGATGACACCCCCATGCCCCGTTCTATCGTTTGCTTCGCGGCCGAGGTTGGCTATGCGAATGCATGTTCATGGCATGGTGCCCGTCTCGCAGACCTCCCGCTCTGCCCATGCCCCTCCCGAGTTGATGACTTCAGAGAGCACCTGGGCGACGTCATGGTCGCCGAGGCGGTGGCAGCTCGCGGGCCCGACGGGCCTGATGCTATTGTCGATCGCGACGTTGGGTTGCAGCCCGCTGTCAGCGATGATGCCACCAGTGAATTCCGTGCTCGGTGGGCCAGCGAAATCTCGAAGAGCGTCGCCTCGCTAGCCCAGTGTCAGAGGAGGGACGTATCAAACATATGCAAGAACATGAGCCTCGTGGCGTTGGGCACCTGCTCGGAGGGGGTGGCGACGCTCGTGCACTGGGTCAACGTGAACACTTTCATCGGGCAGCGCGTGCTGCTGGACGAGTGCATGAAGGTGGTGCCCTCCGTCCCCTCATCTTCCTCCTCCTCCGTCCCATCCTCCTCATCCCCCTCCTCCTCCTCATCCTCCACCTTGTCCGCGTGCCTTGGCCTCGCCATCGGGTGGGGTGGGATGATGTCCCACCGAGACCCGAGGGGGGGATTCCAGGCCAAAAACAGGCGTCAATCTTTTCAAAAAATTGACGCTCGATTTTGGGCTGTTCACGGATTTATGGTTTTATATACACGCGTACTAAGACAGCCCGTTAACAAACATGTAGTCCTCCTCCTCCGCCTTCTCCTCTTCCCCCCCCCCCCCCTCCTCCTCCCCCTCCTCCTCCTCCTCCTCCTCCTCGTCCTCGCGGCTTGACCTCGCCATCGGGCAGGGTGGGATGATGTTCTAAACAAGTTTAGAACAAAATGATCTCGTCCTCCTCCTCCTGCTGCTCCTCCCTCTCCTCCTTCTCATCCTCCGAGGTTCTTCTTTCTGATTGGAGGAATTCCTGCCCGTGCCCCCTCCTCCTCCTCCTCCTCCTCATCCTCCTTATCCTCCTCCTCCTTATCCTCATTCTGCTCCCCGCCTCCTCCTTATCCTCCTCCTTGCGCCATATCCTCGAAGGTGAAGTTCTCGGTTGCCCCCCTGAAGGCTGCTGCCGTCTTGCCTGCCTCTAGCAATCCCCAGCCACCCTTGGGAGGGGCAGGTCTCAGAATAGGATGCGAAAGTTTCGATTGGTCTCGCGGCGTCATTGAGCTCTTGGTCGATGATGTAGGAGAGGCGATGTCCAAGATTAGGAGAGACCAAGGGAGGCCATCGCTGCCCCCCGAGATAGAACGTTTGATCTCAATGTTGCGCATTGCGCAGCAAGGTTGCACGTTTACAGACATGTGTGGGTTGTGCCCACAAGAACGCGCAATCCAATGTCCTGTGTGCTTGATGGCCAGCCATGAGGACTGCGCGCGGAAACGCGTGGTTTGTAGTTCGATACCTCTGCCAGCCATCCCGCAGCATATAACATGTTTGCCTAGGTGGTTCTGCGAAGCAGGTTCCACCAGCAGTTCGAGTTCTGGCCCTGCACTGCCGTCCTTGTCGAAGCAAGTGTGTGCGATGTGTGCAGCCTGGCTGTCGCAATGATTCGGTAGGGAAACATGTATGTAAACACGCCGACAACATGTATGTGGTACATCGTTTGCCGAGGGGCCCTCAGGAATCACAAATCATGCGTGGGAGGCAGGTGGGCTCGCACATCGCGCGTGGGGGCCCTGGGGTCCACAAATCCTTTGTGGGGGGCGACTGGGTGCTGCAAATCGTTTGCGGGGGGAGGGGGTGGGGGGGGGGGGGGGGGGGGGGCGGGAGGTCCACAAATCCTTCGGGGGGCGGCGGGGGGGGGGGGGGGGGGGGGGGGGCGTCGCAAACCACGTGGGGCCACGCGGGTTCACAAACCATTTGCGGGGCGGTTTGGGGCTGCAAATTCATTTGTGTGTGTGTGTGTGTGTGTGTGTGGGTGTGTTTGTGGTGTGTGTGTGTGTGTGGTGTGTGTGTGTGTGTGTGTGTGTGTGTGTGTGTGTGTGTGTGTGTGTGTGTGTGTGTGTGTGTGTGTGTGTGTGTGTGTGTGTGTGTGTGTGTGTGTGTGTGTGTGTGTGTGTGTGTGTGTATGTGTGTATGTGTGTGTGTGTGTGGGGCTGGGGGCCCACAAACCATTTGTGGGGGTCCTGGGGCCCGCAAATCCTTTGCGGGGAGCGGCTGGGGGGCTCGCAAACCATTTGTGGGGTCACCTGGGTGTCGCAAACCATGTGCGGGGCGGTTTTGGGGCTACAAATCATTTGTGGGGGGGCTGAGGGGCTCGCAAACCATTTGTGGGGGTCCTGGGGCCCGCAAATCCTTTGCGGGGAGCGGCTGGGGGGCTCGCAAACCATTTGTGGGGCCACCTGGGTGTCGCAAACCATTTGTGGAGCGGTGGTTGGGCTGCAAATCATTTGCGGGGCGGGCTGGTGGGCTCGCAAACCATTTATGGGGGCCTTGGGGCCCGCAAATTCTTTGCCACCCTGGGTCCGCAACTCATCTGCGGGAGCGTTGTGCCCGCAAGGTTTGGATCGGCGTCGCCGCCTCGCAGCCGCTTCTAGGCGACCCGCTTCCCGTGTCTTCCAACTGTGCCTTGCCTTGCGCTGCCATGGCGTCGGCGTCGCCTGGGGGGTCTGCTGGCTCGGGGTCTCAGGACTCGAGGGCAGATGTTGGGATTGGCGGATTGCCGACAGGCCATCGCCCCACGCCTAAACACGAACCCTTTTGTTTCTGGCGGCGATTTTTGTTTTTTCCTGAGAGGGCGCCAAGGGTCACCTTAAAATGGGGCGGATGTTAGGGTGACCCTTCCCTGGGCAAAAAAGATTGTTGAACAACAACACCCGTTGAGGAGCACGGCGCGGCCGGGCGCGTTTCGAATATGAACGCCCTGCTGGCGGCTGGCGGTGTCGGCGCGGATGTGGTCGACGGCGAGATGGCTCTCGAGGCGGCGCGTCTCCTCGCGTCTGCCCAGGATATGATTGGAAGAAATGCCCAGGAGGAGGAGGTGATGGGGGGGGGGGGGGAGGGGGGGGAGGAGGAGGGGGAGGAGGAGGAGGAGGGCTACATGTTTGTTAACGGGCTTTCTGAGCGCGCGTGTAGATGGGGCCGTGAACAGCCCAAAATCGAGCGTCAAAATTTTTAAACATATTGACGCCTGTTTTTGGCTTAGTATCCCCCCCGCTCGGGCCTCGGTGGGACATCGCCCCGCCCCGCCCGATGGCGAGGCCAAGTCACGCGGGCGAGGAGGAGGATGAGGGGGAGTTTTGGTCAAACAGAGGAGGGGGGCTGGGAGGGGCGGAGGAGGGGGCAGCGGGGCGTTTTGGGGGCCGCCCTCGACGGGGGGGGGGGGGGCTTGATTCTGCCCTCGTCCCCTCCTCCTCCTCCTCCTCCTTCTCCTCCTCCTCCTCCCCCTCCTCCTCCTCCTCCTCCTCCTCGCCCTCGTTTGAAAAATGATAATCCTCATCCTTCTCCCTCTCATCCTGACCTCCTCCCCCTCCTCCTTACTGTTTTGTTGCTTCGAACGCAGGGCGCTACTCAGACAGCTACTTCTCCCGCTGCGGCTACTGCGTCATTGCCGCTCGCGCCCGACATGCTTCACATGATCAACAGCATAGAGCAGCTGGACGCAGTCCCCATGAGCGAGGCGTGGCAGTTCGTGAAGAAGACGTACGTGGAGAATGAGAATTACATTCTACACATCTGGGGTGGGGTTCCAGATGCAGCTGGTCGCTACAACGTTGAGCTGGCGTGCAGGCGCCCTCGCAACAGCAGGCGCCAGGGCGCCACGATCCATAAGTACGCGAAGATCATCCTCCGCGACGGCATGATGGAAGCATTTCGCGGTCGGCTCTTGGCCGTGAACGACGACGGCGAGAGCGGGACCGCCAAGCTCGACCAAAATAACCAGCTCATGGGCGGCGCGGGCATCGTGGGGGCTGCGAAGGTGGCGAAACGCATGGAGCCAGACAACGTCAACATCAAGCGCCTTGAGAAGTCAGGCATCGCGGGTTGCATGCGCCTCAAGGCGTGCACTCCAGATTTTGTCCTGGACTGGTTGAAAGCGAAACATAACTCTTTCCACGTGGGCGTTGGGGCGACGCTCGTGGAGGTTCTCGAAGTGGCAGTGGTAATCGAAGATGCTTGGTCGTCATGTTGCAGGAACAACAGGATCAGCTCAGCGTCGTGCCCAACGGCTGGCGAGTTCACTTTCCAGAACATCTACCGTCGGTTCGTCGCCCAACAGATCGGGGGCCTTGACCGCGAGGGCTCCGGCTGGTTTACCAACCCCTACCATTACGAGTCGGCCAAGAAAGCTTACAATTTCATGACTCGGATCGGGGTTTGGTCCTCAGTGAAGCTGCGCATGGAAAAGTTCGCCGACTTTACAGATCGCACCTTTCGTAAAGATGTTGCGTGTCACTGCATGAGGGACGCGTGCGTCACGATGGAGCAGATCGAGAAGGGGATCTGCGACATTGATGCCTGGAAGGTCCTGTCGACGGAGCTGCTCAAGCTGTGCGTGCAGCACGTGCCAGGACCCGCAAGCGCATGCCCGTGGCTCCCCAAGGACCCGACCACCACGCAGACCTTGTTGAGCAGGCTGTTCAAACAAATGCTTGATCATGCCGACGACGTTTGGGTGCTCACCATGATCAAGAAGGTCAGCGTTCTCATGAGCTGCCTGAAGAAGAAGGACTACGAGAGTGCGCAGCCGCTGGTTATGAAGTCTATCGCGTTCGCACTCGGGGAGCCCAAGGGGAGCTGGAAGGCGAGGTGGCGAGAGATCGAGTCGGCCTTTGTCGATCTCCACGGTTCGGCTGTGAATTTCAACGTGCCCCACTGGTCTAACATCATGCTGAACGACCCGAAAGCAGTGACCACGATGAAGGGCGTCATTGAGCACCTCGCCAAGAAGAGCGCGGAGCAAGCGGTTGCTTCACTGTCGGAGTTTGACGGCAAGTCCGAGGCTGACGCAGGAGTTCTTCAACGTGACGCGACGGTGGCGGAGTTCTTCGAGGGCCTCAATGTTCTCTCGAGGTCTCAAGACGCGGTATTGCATTCCACCTTGTTCCTTAACCCCAGCAACGCGAGGGTGGGCTCGAAGTTCCACCCTGCGTTTGCCAGCCTCGCGACGTCGCTTGGTGGCAAGGTGTCGGGGACCGTCCAGATGGAGGAGCTCTTCAAGATCACGCACGAGTCGCTTCGGGACGTTTGCCCTGCCAAATTCATGAAGTTCTGCGGGGTGGTCATGGCCATCGTCAACCACCCCGAGGCCAGGAAGGACTTGGAGTACACGAAGATCAACCTGTGCGGCCGCTCGAATGGCCTCTTCCCCGACTGGGACTCTGCGCTCAGGGCTTCAAGGCTTCACTGGGTGTACTCGCTGGAGCTGTTGGGGGCGATGATGGGCGGCAGCTTTAAGGTGACCGAGAAGGACTACGGCTGCGTCTTTGAGCAGTTGGGCAAGGCCGCCGCGCCTGGCTCGGACTTGGGCGATTTCCTCTTGAACCAGTCGTGCAAGTTCTACGACGTCGGTCAGGTGGCGTGGGTTTTGTGGCGGATGCCGCGGCACTCCAAACTAACACATTCGACCAGGTGGTGGCGCGCGGCAGCCGCGCCCCACCACCCACCACCTGGTCTAATTTGTTAGTTTGGAGTGTTGCTGATTCTGAGTTGCCCTCGTATGGTTAGTAGTCTGAGTAGTCCCTGGTGGTTGGGGTGGTCTGGTACATCCGTCAGAAAGCCCAACAGGAAGCCTGGGTAAAGTTCCTTTGCGATATGTTCGGCTTCATCTTTCAGCAGCACGAAGCTGGTGGCGACTTGGATGTAGAGGGGCTCAAGAAGCTTTGGGATTCGGTGTCTGCCCCATCCGTGGCACAGGGCCTGCAGGATCCGCCCCCCAGCGAGGTGCTACCAGAAGATGCGGCGATGACAATTACTTCGATTCGCAACCAGTGGGCCCCTCCGTCGTCGGATGGTAGCTCGACCAGCGTGGTTGGGCCAAACGTTTTGAGCTTCATGATGGCATTGGGGCAGTACCTCTACCACGCGTTCATCTGCTCGGCCACTTCGACCCTCTCCGTAGACAAGGTCGCGCTCTTCCCCGACAAGAACCTGTCGAACATCAAGGTGGACATGTCGTTGCCGGCTGCCCAGTGGAAGCCTACGGCGGATGACGTCTCTGACACCGCGGTCATGAACTTCGCTGGTAAGATCACCAGGAGGCAGAATGACAAGATCCCGTCGCTGCACGTGTGCTCAGCGTTCGGCCAGTACTTTTTCGTGGAGGCGGGGCCGTTCGGTTCGTTCGACCACGACGGCTTCGCCCCCGCGTGGTGCATCCCCGAGGTGAAGACGTCGAAGAAGCGCAAGGGCCAGGTCGATGATGATACCGCCGAGGGCAGCAAGAATAAGAACACGACATCGGATCAGAATCAGACCCCGTCCATGGAGCTGCACTCGACCAATTTCAAGTTCGAGCACGCGTGGACCAACTTCCCCCAGACTGTCTTGGTCCAGGTTGATTGCAAGATTCACTACCTGAAGTTCAACAGCAAGTATGTAGGCTTCGCCCAGGTCCCTGTCACGCGCGGGGCTTTCCCACCCTCGCCCGTAGAGCTCAAGGGGCGCAAGCTCACGCTGCCTGCGGCCCTCATGGGCCCGACGCCAAAGGCGAAGGCCAAGGCCACCAAGGGCGGGTCGAAGGGCGACCAAGCCTTCGTAAAGGCCACGAAGCATCTGGTCAAGTAG